TAAACGACCCCGTGAATCTTCTCGAACCCCTGACCGCGGCCCCCCCCCACCTGAGCACGCTGTCCTTCCTGCTTGTGAAAAGACTCTCTGACATCTGGGTGGCTGGGGTGCTTAACCCTAAATTCCCCCAGGGTGGAGAGCAAGTTCCTTCCTGCGTGTTCCCACATCAGGGTATTCAGCTCTGAGCACCCCGGGTTGGTTGTGGACACTTAACCTTGAGCACTGAGGTGGTGAGCAATCACCCCCCACCTTTGCTGGTTGCTTCCTCTCCTCCCAGGTGGGGATTCTTAGCCCTAAGCACCCCTGGTTGACTGTGAGTACTTAGTGCTCAGTATCCTGCTGTGGAAAGCAATCATCTTCCTCGCAGCTGAGGATACTTAATCCTGAGCACTCTGGGATGGAGAGCAATCATCCTCCTTTGCTGCTTGTTCCCAACTGTAGGGTAATTAGTCCACAGCACCCACAGCGGACGTGGGTGCTAAATTCTGACCATTCCGCTGTGGCACACAATCACCCGCTTGCTCCGTTCTCAACTAAGGGTACTAAGGCGCAAGCATTCTAGAGAGGCTGTGGGCATTTAACTTACTCCCGAGCACCCAAGGCCAAACCGTCTCGGCCACTTCCCGTCACACGCGCAAGCAGCCGTGCTGACGGCTGAAGGTACTTAGCCCCAAACACCCCGGCAGAAACCAGCTCAGCCCCTTCCCACCACACAAGGGCACCAAGCACCCGTGCTCACGGCTGAGGACGTTCAGCTTTGCGGGCCTGGGTGTGCAGAGCAAGCATCCCATGGCCGCTTGTTCTGAGCTGAGGGTGCTAAGCCTTGCGCACCCTAAGGTGGCTGAGTACTCAGCGCCGAGCACCAGGGTGGCTGAGGGCAATTAGACCCAAGCACCCAGGGGTGGATGTGGGCATTTAGTACTGAGGACCCCATGGCGGTGAGCAATCCCCCTCTCATCTTGTGTTTCCAACTCAGGATACTTAGATCGGAGCACCCAGGGCTGGTGAGCAATTCCCCTCCATCCTGTACATTCCCAACTGAGAATACTTAATCCAGAGCACCCAGGCATTGATGGGGGTATTTACTCCCGAGTACCCCGTGGTGGTATCCGTCCTGTGTGTTCCCAGCGGAGAATTTAGTCCACAGCACCCCAGGGTGGCTACGAGTACTTACTCCTGAGCACCCCGTGGGGGTGAGCGACCCCATTCCTTCCTGCTTGTTCCCAGCTGTGGGTACTTAACACCGACCACCCAGGACAAACCACCCGTCCCCTTCCCCTTCCCATCACGCACAGACAAGAACCTGAGGTCCGGGTCCCGTTTTATTATTTCCAAGCAGAATGCCCATCACAGGACCGAGTACTCGAGGCTTTTCCCCACAGGGTGCTAGTGCTTAACGCTCGGTTCTGCTGCTGCTTCAATAAATAGTTATCCAAGGCTGGTCCCACAAGGTCTGGACTTGGTCCTCCCACGGCCCCCCCGGACGTGCAGTGACCCCCCTGCCCCGGAGGTGGGATGGTTCAGAGGATGGAGACCGAGGCCCTCTGAACCCACCCTGGAAGTGATAGCGGCAAAGTGGAATTTCTGGAAGGTGAGTCGCCCCCGGGAGTAGTATGTGCAGCACCGCGCCGGGAGCACTGTGCCCGCAGCACTACAGGACCTTCTTGAGCTCGTCGTAGATGACCAGCACGAAGGCGCCGCCCATGCCGCGCAGCACGTTGGACCACGCGCCCTTGAAGAAGGCCTTGCCGCCCTCGTCCTTGAAGATCTTCCTCCAGCAGTCCAGGGTGCCCGAGTACATGATGTCGGCTGGGGGGACGGGATGGGACTGGTCAGGACCGGATGCAGGGGACCCCGGGCTCAGGACCCGCCCACCCGGCAGGCCTAGAGGACCTGCAGGAAAACAGGCTGGGGGGGGGCTGTGATTGACAGGTCTAGTCCCCGTGGGAGATTGGGGTTCCCATGATCCACGGCTCTGCTCCCTGTGACTGGCAGCTGTGATCGACAGGCCGGAACCCTACAGGCCTCCACGTGCCCCCTGAACACAGGATGTGCACCCCGGGTGCGATGCTGCCCTTCCGCCCACCCCTGGGGCCGGGTGCTGGGTCAAGTACCTCCTTTCCGGCCCGACTGCATCATCATGCGCCTGCGCACCGTGTCGAAGGGGTAGGACACCACGCCGGCCACCGCCGTCACCGTCTGCGCGATCATCCAGCTCACCACTATGTGCGTGTTCTTAGGGTCCGGGAGCATGCCTGGGGGGGGGGGGAGACCAGGTTAGACCAAGCTGAACGCGCAGTGAGATCCCACCGCAGCCAACCTCACGCTCGGCCGCACACTCATCCTCGGTCGTGTCTACACCGTCCTAGCCGTCGTGCCCGGCCACATCCACGCGGGACGCCCACCGTCAGTCAGTCCTGTCTACGCTCCAGTAACCCTGAGCCCCGGCCCGGTGCACACTGCACGCTCATCCCTGGCTACACGTACAGGTCTCAGCACCCCCGGCCACGTCTACACCTCCGGCACTTCCGGTCGTGTCCGCACCCCTTCACCGTCAGGCCCAGCCACACCTTCTCCTCAGGCTCGCCCCGGGCACGCCCAGGCCTCCGAACCCTGACCCTCGCTGGTGTCTACACCGCACGCGCGCCGTGAGTCACGTCTACACCCCCGGAGCACGCACACGCACACGCGCTCCTGCACCGCGCTGACCCTTGGCGGTGTCGTAGACCCCGAAGTAGGCGGCGCGGTAGATGATGATGCCCTGCACCGACACGCTGAAACCCTGGTACAGGCCGCGCAGCCCGTCCGAGCGGCTGATCTTCACCAGGCAGTCGCCCAGGCCCTTGAACTCGCGCTCGGACCCGGATTTGCCCACGTCGGCCGCCAGCCGCGTGCGCGCGAAGTCCAGCGGGTACACGAAGCACAGCGACGTGGCCCCGGCCGCGCCGCCCGACGCCAGGTTGCCGGCAAAGTAGCGCCAGAACTGCGTGCGCTGGTCCACGCCGCCCAGGAACACCTGCTTGTACTTGTCCTTGAAGGCGAAGTTGAGCGCCTGCGTCGGGAAGTAGCGGATCACGTTGGCCAGGTTACCCCGCCAGAACGACAGCACGCCCTGCTCCCGCGGGATGCGCACGATGCAGTCCACGATGCCCTTGTACTGCTGGTCGGCCGCGATCTGCTTGCTGGCGTGCTGCACCTGCGGGACGGGGCGAGGGTTAGCCCAGGCTGGACCATCTGGAATCGAAGAGCAGGAGCCGACGGGGCGGGGGCAACGATGTGCCTCGGCTAGCCCAGAACGGGACTTGAACGAGGGTGCTGGGAGCCGAATCTGCGTACTCTACAGGAGCACCCAGTGCGGTGAGTGGCCGCTGCCCGGCAGTGCTCGCCGCCCGTGACCAGAAGGTGGTGTGCAGACCAGGCTAGACTCAAAGGCAGAGATCCACCCACTGTGGGCTTCAGAGTACTGGAATCTAAGATCTGCGTCACCAAGCAGTTTGCCACGTCCCTTAGAGGTGCCAATTACAGGGACTGTTGGGCGGGATGGACACATTCAGGCTAGCCTGGGCTACATAGTACTAGGCCGCTCTGAGGGACCTAGACCGAAAAGAACAGAAGCGGGTGGTGGTTGGTATCAGGGCTGAAGATCCTGGTAGTTCAACGAGACACAGTCATGTTTCCTGCTCATGTAAAGTACTAAACGCCCCAGCACTCAGGAAGCGGTGGCAGGAGGAGGAGGCCAAGTCCCAGGCCCGCCTAGGAAATCTCACGGCACCCGCATTCTAAACAGAATGAAAACCGACCCTGGGTTCAGAGGTCTCAAGACCCGGATCAAGTTTGCACTAACTTTAAAAAGTGGAATATGAGGCACCACGGAAAAAGTGCGGGGACTCTCGCCTATGTCTCTCAAACGGACGTCAGTCTCCTGCTCCCGGTGCCCCCCGGCCCCCCCGGATGCACACGGCCTCCAAAGTGACTTTTCAGGATGATTCCCAGAGCCCCGAGCTTCCGGTGACCGGTTCAAGGTCAGGACCCGAACGGTGTGGACCCCGCGCGCATGCGCACCTGCCATATCGCGGGAGCCTGAGCCCAGCGCGCATGCGGCCGCCGGAAGTGTCGCCTGTGAGGACAAAGCGGGGTCGGGCGGCACTTCCGCCGCGCCCCTTCCCGCGCTCCCGGGACGCCCCGCGGGCCGCCGCCCTCCCGGCACCCCCCCCCCGCACACCCTCCGGAAAGTTGCGGTCCGTACCTGCAGCAGCAGCTTGACCCGCTCGATCGGGGCCACGGCCGTCTTGGAGATGGCGGCGGCGATGCCCCCGGCCAGGAAGTCCTTGGCGAACGACACGGCCTGGTCCGTCATGCTGGCGCGGCTCGCGGGGGACGCGGAGGACGGAGAACGACTCAGCCTGCAGCACCCACCGCCGAAAGGACTCGCCGCCCGGCGCGCAGCCGCATAGCACCGCGGGCCCCGCCCCGCCCCTCCCCGCCCTCCTCATTGGCTGCAGCCCGGAGCCTGGCCCCGCCCCAACGGCTGATGGACATCCTGGGCCCCGCCCCCCGGCCGGACCCAGTCCGGGCCACGGCACCGTGCACCCTAGCACCGCTCCGATTGGACGCACCGTGCACCCTACGTCGCTGACGTAGCGCGCACACTGTAGTCTGTCATTCTGGGTGCACCGTGCACCCTAGCACCGTTCCGATTGGATGGATGGAGAATTCAGTCCCGGCCTTACTGGAAGAACCGTGCACCCTAGCACCGCTCCGATTGGACGGATTGCGCACCCAGCCCCGTCCTCTCTGGGTGCACGGTGCACACTAGCACCGTTCTGATTGGACACATCCAGCCTGAGCCTTCCTTAAAGCACCGGGCACTTTAGTACCATTCCGATTGGACGCCCTTGTGCCCGGCTCCAAACTTGCTGGGCGTGCCGTGCACCGTAGCACCATTCCGATTGGACGTCCCCGCGCCCAGCTCCAAGCTTGCTGGGAATCACCGTGCAGCCTATCACCATTTCGATTGGCTGCAGCGTCCTCCGCAGCCCCGAGTCATGCCGGGACACTAACCCCTCCCATACGTTGTGGGTGCTGGGCGGGATACTCCCACTAGCCCTTGACCTTCTGAAGGTCACGGTGCGGTTGTCAGGCCCCTTCGTGACGTCTCCCCCGACTCCCGGGCCAGGCCAGAAGCTGAGAACCAGGGTGCTAACCGAGCTTTTCCACCCCGAGTCCTGGGGGCGCCGGGTTAGGAGTCTGCAGGACAGAGAGGGTCGCGCCGCGTCAGGTGGACTTAGCTCCAAGCGGAGCACCGGGCGGGGAGCGCCAAGTGGGGAACACCGAGTTCGGAGCACCGAGAACTGGACTCTGAGCCTGCGGCGGAGATGCGGACTGGCAGGGGTGGGGGGCGGGGTGCTTGGTGGATGGAAGGCCGCGTGGATGATCCCCGAGTGCATTGATGGACGGGCGGCAGGATGCGTAGATGAGACACGTCCGGGTCGATGGCGCCACACGTGGGTGGCCGGCTGCCCCTGGGGCATCACAGTCTGTTCTGCAGCAACCTAGCTCAGCACCCAGTCCTCTGTAACCCAATTAAAGTACTCAGAAGAGTACGAGAACGCCCCGAGTCCCGTCTGGAAAAATCGCGCACGCAGGTGTCCCGGTTGCCCTTTGTCCGGTACTCGGTACTCGGTGCTCAGTGGGGGCCTGAGTCTGCGCCCAGGAGGTCAACTTAGCAAAGACAGGATGTGGCCCTAGGGGTTGGGATGGCAGTGCGGGGGGTAGTCCAGCCACTTCTGAGTGCTTACGTCTGAGTCCTTGGCGCACAGTTCCCAGCATTAAGCACCTTGTCCTTGACCCACACACCCCCGTCTGCTTATCCGGCACCCCGACGCCCCCCCAATCACTGCCCGCGCAGTGATTGGGGTTTAGGGTGTGGGTACTTAGGATCTGGACTAAGTGGGGCTGGTGGCCTGGATAAGGCGTCCCCCTCCATGTCGCCACCTGGGCTGAGGGTTTCCATAGAAAGTGGGAGTTGGGGTGCTAGGGAGGTGGCTGAGTGCTTGGGTACTGCCTGGCGAGGTGGCTCGGTAGTTGAGTGCGGAAGCAGGGTCCGGGCCTTCACGTTTCCTAGAGCGGCTGGGGGTGGAGATCGCGGGGCTTGGGTTAGCCTGGGGTATCAGGGGCAGTCGGGTCCCGAGGGTGTTGGCAGCCGAGAGCTCGGTTCCTCACCCACAGCCTGTTTGGAGAAAGCAGCCGGCGACAGAGCAAGAAACATGCATGAACATACATGCACACGTGAACAGACGCACACATGCATTAATGCAAGCATGGCCATGGCGCTGTTTGAACGGACAGGTGGACAGTAGGACACACATACACGCATGAATGCGCACATATGCGCAGGAACACGCGCACAGGTCAGCCGACCTGCAGCAGGCACCCGGTTATTCACAGGAAGAAGTGCTTGGGCGCCTGAACCCAGAGGTCAGGGTGTGTGCACACGGGTCGGGGTTTCCCACACACACAGACACACACACACACATATACAGTCAGGTCGGCGTTTCCCACAGTAGCGGAGTGCCGTGTGCACAGTTGGGGGTTTCTCACACATCGTCGGTGTGCACACGGGTTGGGCTCCCACACAGGTCGCATGTGGAGGGTTCCAGCAGGACGTGGAGCCGCAGAGCTGTGGTCAGGGCTGTCAGTCAGTCACGGGGGCGGGGCTGAGCGGTCAGGGCTGTCAATCACAGCGCTTGTCCAGCTAGAGGACTTGGTTGCCAGGCCCAGCACTGGGAGGTCGCTCTCTATCGGTCCTTCAGTCCGTCGGTCCGCCTGTCACACGCCCCGCACGGAGCTGCAGAAAGTCCAACATCACAGGCCTGGGGGGCTGTCATCTCGGGGGGGGGGGGCACAGCGTAGACACAGGGACAGGGAACTCGGCCTCTGCGGGCGCAGCACCCGGATCCACTCCCAGGGGTCAGAGCGAGGCCTGGAAACAGTTCATGGAGTGCTTATAGTTTATGAGTGCTTATAGCTCAGTTAGTGCGATGAGTGAAGCTTATTAGTGCTTATAGCTGTCAGTGGAGTGATTGTACCTTAGTTATTAGTGCTTATAGGAGTTAGTGATTATAGCTTAGTTATTAGTGCTTATAGGAGTTAGTGGAATGCCTGTAACTCAGTTATTAGTGCTTATAGCAGTTAGTGGACTACTTGTAGCTTAGTTATTAGTACTTATGAGTCAGTGGAGTGATTATAGCTTAGTTATTAGTGCTTATAGCAGTTTGTGGAGTGCCTGTAGCTATTACTGGTTATAGCAGTTAGTGGAGTGCTTGTAGCTTAGTTATTAGTACTTATAGGAGTTAGTGGAGTGATTATAGCTTAGTTATTAGTGCTTATAGCAGTCAGTGGAGTGATTGTAGCTTACTTATTAGTGCTTATAGGAGTCAGTGATTATAGCTTAGTTATTAGTGCTTATAGCAGTCAGTGGAGTGATTGTAGCTTACTTATTAGTGCTTATAGGAGTCAGTGATTATAGCTTAGTTATTAGTGCTTATAGCAGTTAGTGGAGTGCTTGTAGCTCAGTTATTACTGCTTATAGCAGTTAGTGGAGTGCTTGTAGCTGTTATTACTGCTTATAGCAGTTAGTGGCGTGCTTGTAGCTCAGTTATTACTGCTTATAGCAGTTAGTGGAGTGCCTGTAGCTTAGTTATTAGTGCTTACAGCAGTTAGTGGAGTGCCTGTAGCTTAGTTATTAGTGCTTATAGCAGTTAGTGGAGTGCTTGTAGCTCAGTTATTAGTGCTTATAGCAGTTAGAGGAGTGCCTGTAGCTCAATTATTAGTGCTTATAGGAGTTAGTGGAGTGCTTGTACCTTAGTTATTAGTACTTATGAGTCAGTGGAGTGATTATAGCTTAGTTATTAGTGCTTATAGCAGTCAGTGGAGTGCCTGTAGCTTAGCTATTAGTGCTTAGAGCAGTTAGTGGAGTGATTATAGCTTAGTTATTACTGCTTATAGCAGTTTGTGGAGTGCCTGTAGCTCAGATATTAGTGGTTATAGCAGTTAGTGGAGTGCTTGTAGCTTATTAGTGCTTATACCAGTTACAGTGCTTGTAACTTAGTTATTAGTGCTTATAGCAGTTAGTGGAGTGCTTGTAGCTTAGTTATTACTGCTTATAGCAGTTAGTGGAGTGCTTGTAGCTGTTATTACTGCTTATAGCAGTTAGTTAGTGGAAGGCCTGTAACTTAGTTATTAGTGCTTATAGCAGTTAGTGGAGTGGTTGTAGCTTAGTTATTACTGCTTATAGCAGTGGAGTGCTTGTAGCTTATTAGTGCTTATAGCAGTTACAGTGCTTGTAGCTTAGTTATT